GAGAAGGCTCATTACTAAATAAGCTGCCAATTGATCCAAATAGATTTGATACTCCTGAAGTCTCCTTGTTAGCAGGGGTACTACCTGGCAAAGAGGTTGCGCTACCAGCTTTGCTTTGCTGGTTGGTAGACGACTGGGACTTCATTTGGGGATCAACTTTGGTTTCCTCCATTCCCACTGCAGACTTAAAAAAGTTCATTAAGCCTGCTTGTGGTTCAGGAATTTTGTCCACTGGTGTATCAGTAAGTTTGTCAGCTGACAACGCAGGTTGGGGAGAATCCGTAAGATTTCCTTTTGCTCCTAAAGGCATTGAGACACTGGGCTTTGTTGGTGGGGCTGTTTGTTGGGCCATGGTAGTCTGACGTGCAAGTCTTGGCTTAGGTGTAGCTTGTGATAATGTAGAGGGCTGGGTAACTGGAGTGGTTGTCGGTGTTGGGGGCAAAATTCTTCCTTTTGTTGTGGTTGGCACCTGCATTTGTTGTTTAACACCTTCTGGTTGAGTTACAACAGCAGGAGATTCTTTAATTATCTTAGACTTGATACTCTGGAAACCTGATGAGAGAATGTTTTTGGAATTTTTGTCAGAGGTTTGCTCATGACGGGCAGTGAAAGGTTTGCCAGATTCCTCCTGTGATGGTTTGCCCACAAAAGAAGATATGAGAGAAGAAATCTTTCTAACTTGACGATTAGGCAGTTCCTCAACTGGATACACTCTTTTCCTCCATTCTTCCTCTGAAACATCATCAACATGCTTCACTGTCACTGCAGTAGAGGAACGTCGTCTTTGGCTGGGTTGATAACAGTTAGGAAGTAGCTGCTGATTTGAATTAGGTGTCGGAGTAGAGTTCAATGAAACAGAAACCTTCTGAGCAAGAAATGTCTTAACTTCCTGGTTGTTCCAGTTAGGGCCCAAGCGATCTCTATTGTGACATGAAAGGTCAATGATGTCTTGACAGTGATCCATATAGACATAACTGGGCTGTCTAGGGTCCATCCTAACTTTGTTTAGTCTGTAAGATGTGAAATCCATACCTTGCTGCCTTTGTGTCATAAATGAATTTTCAAACATTTGAGAGAATTGCTCTAGATTTAAATTCATGAGCTGGTTCCCTTTTCTATAGGCAGCGGACAAATCCAGAGGAGCATTGAGAAGCTGGGGATCACTGTGATCTTGACCAGGAAGCCAAAGAAGCTCATCCTCATTGTAAAGTGGAATTTTAAATCCACATACTAAAACCATTTCATTGTGCAACCAAGCATTGGGGAAACTCTCTAATGTAAGTGCATTTCCCCATGATTCACCCTCAGGTGCGCATGCATACACATACTCACCTACTGCATCTGTAAGTAAGGCATAAATATACTCATGATCTGTGTAGACAAAGTAGCCACAGTCACCATCTTCTGCTGGCCACCACATTCCTTGCTCCAAAAGAGCAAGCCACTGTTGATACCATTCAGTATCATCGAGGTAATGGGAGTCTTCTACATCAATATTGTGACCTGGAGGACGGCCCGAATCTACTGTTCTACTCAAATATAATGGACCATGATGGATTGGGCCATTATTGCGAACATTTTGTAGATTTGCATTATCCATTCCATATTGCCAGTTTGCCGAATAAGATAAGCTTGGTGCCGTTTCTTCGTAATATCCTTCATGATATGAAACGGCATTCAAGCTATGAGAGCTGCCATCATTAAACGAATGCCATTTCCCAAATTTAGCATTTCTGTGCGTAGTAGTTAAATTTAATACACCTTCCTCATTGGATGAATAAGTAATTTTGCCCAAATCTTCATAACTGTTCCATAATTTTCTATTGGGATATGAGACTTCATTTGTGTGTCCCTGGTGCAGATATGATTCCACATGTTCTTGGGGATATGCAAAACCCTGCCAAGGTGCATTGCTAGCTGTCCGATTGATATTAAAGGAGCTGCAGTTAGGAGTCAATGTTTGTAATGAAGTACTTTCACAGCTTGGCCTGTAACCTTGATCTTCCATCTGGAAATGATTATTCTGTGACTCATTCTGAAACTGCTGCCATAGAGCACTTTCACGAATCCACTGGTTTTCATCATATGATGGACTTATGCCATATGCAGAAAACTGACCTTGATAGTAGTTTTGATTTGCTGCTGCAAACAAAGAAGGACTACTTCCTCCAATATGTGGCTGAACAGTCATAACTGGAGAAGCTGTGTGGTTATGGACATGAGAGTGAAGATTCCCTGTACTATAAGCGATTGGGTTAGTTGATGGCAGTGAGTCAGAAAAAGGTAACTGATATAAATTGCCTGTACTAAATGAGGAGTATGTTGCCTGACTTTGAAGACATCTCGCAAAAGTAGCTGATGTTCGTAAGTCTAAACTCTCAGCATGAACAGACACAGGTGAACTGATAAAAGCATGCCTGCTCTGTCCTGGATTAACAGAACCTGAATAAGATCTTTGCAGCCTGTCCCTTTCAAAGTCGGAACGGACTTTGCCTGCCTGCTCTGGAACGGACTGTCGTGCTACTTCAGAAATAGACTGTTTCTGCTGTGGAGTTTGTGCTGTGCCTTTGGATACAGCCGTCTTCTGTTCCGGCGATTGTCCTATTGATGTCTGGAAAGTTGGATCGATGTTTTCAGAGACCTTTGTTAACTTATTGAAAAACCCAGACAACACTCCAGTCTGACCTGTCTCTACCTGAGATTGGCCAGTCTGACTACATGGCACTTGAACCTGTTGATTTCCTTGAACTAGGTCGACATTTTTGTGCTCTTGCTGTGGAGTCATATTTTCTGTGGACTTAAACAGTACTGAAAACACTCCAGATGCTTGAGTTGTTTTTTGTGGCATGTTGTTTTGCGGTTGATTCTGGCTGGAAACTGGGTTATTATTGGCTCTTGTTTGTTCATGACTAGTACTTAGGGGAATCCCATGTTGCTGTGCTGATGGCTGATTTTGAGCATTTATGCTGTCAGCTGATGCAAATTTGAAAAGACCAGATAAGAGGCCACTCTGTTGGGATGGTGGTTGCTGAAGCGGAACAGTTTGTTGTCGCACAATGCTCGGTTTACTTGTTTCTGGTGGGACAGTTTGCTGGCTCAGGGTTCTGTTACTCAAAGGAAGACCTGAACCTGGACCTTGAATACTCTGCTGGCTGACGGCTTGCTGTTGCTGAACATTGCATGGCTGTTGATTTGTTTGACTGGTTGAAGTACTCTCAGGTGATGCAAGTTTAAGCAGGCCAGACAACAACCCCTTTTGCTGTGGCTGTGTTTGTTGAGTTTCAATTGAAGTCTGCTGCCCAACGGGATGATTCCCAGGAATGTTCCTTTGCTTGTCAGCCTCAGAGGTTTGAATGTTTTGCTGCAAGTTTTCTGTTGATGTAAATTTCAGCAGCCCTGACAGTAGACCACCCGTCTGTGGTGCTGAATAATTATTTGGAGGGACAGGCTGATGGGGAGGCTGTGGGGAATTATTGCCCCTCGGTGGTTGATTGTTGGCCGGCTGAGGCACATTACCAGGTAGGTCACTTGCAGAGCCAAATTTAAGTAGCCCAGATAGTAGCCCTCCTTGTTTGGGTTGATTACTCCCCATGTGAGAGACATCCTCAGTTGAGTTTCCTTTAAAAAGGCCAGAGAGAAAACTCTGTGATTCAGGCTGATTGGGAATTTGATGTTGCAGGCCTTGAGGGGCACCTGTTTGTTTCTGATCTAACGTATGCTGTGGGCCAGGTGGCACTTTGTTGTTCTGAGATTCCTGACTCTGGTTTGAACTGGAGGGATTAAATAGGCTGGAAAGCCATCCTTTCTCAGTGCTTTGCTGAGGCACTGCAGAATTTTGGGTGTTAGTGGAGGAGGCTGCTGCTGACGATGACTGAGGATTTGCTTGTGGGTGACTGTGTGTTTTTGTGGAGGCACTAATGTCCTCAGCAGATGAAAACTTCAAAAAACCAGAGAACATGCTTCCCTCTGCTGCAGGGCGTTGCTGAGTTGACACATTTTCAGAGGAGAGGAAAGGTAGTTTGAACTTACTACCCAGCGATGGCTCCTCAGCGGTTTTCTGTGGTTGGGGCTCCTCTGTGGTTCGGAATACTGGATAAACTACAACAGGAGGAGCTCCCTGAGGTGGAATAGGAGCAACAGGTGTGATCAGGGAACTCAAGGACTTCTTAAAAGGGCTAAAAAATCGAGTGTTTACAGACTGTGTTTGGCCATTACACTTTTCTGAGCCTGGAACAGCCCCATTTTCCTGTTCATATATAACGGGATTTTGTCGCCTACCTAAACTTTCATCATGAAACTTATCTTGGGATGAACTTCTTAACCTCTCTGATACCCTACCTTCATCAGAATTTGCCACCTGTCTGGCATGATGAACACTTTTGTCGACCAATTTCTCATTCCACTGTGTATGACCATTACAGTGTTTGGACTCTGATGCCTGTTTGTTTTCACCAGAGTTCTCATTACCTACCGTTGAAATAAGCTTTAATGGATTCAATTTGCCTAAGACTGAGTTTCCTTGAACACTTTCAGGTTTTGTTACATAGTCAGACGTTTGTTCTTTTTTGCTTGTTTGAGTTTGACTCCTTTCTGATTCTCGATTATGACCTTTGGCATCATGCAGTGGCACTGAAGGCAAACCACCAACTGTTTTCTCAGGGGAGGTTTCTACTGGTGAGACAACAGCAACAGGAGTTGAAATATTTGATTTGGGGATAAAGGAAAACAGTTTGGTTAGTCCAGATTGTGACGGCTGTGGAGATGGAGCTTGTGGAGATAAGGCGGGCTGTTTGGGGGCTCCTCCAACTTTGTCAGAGAGAGAGCTAAACAAGGAGCTCACTGCATTTTTTACTCCTGAAATGCCTTGTTCAGAAGGAGGTGGTTCTTGAGAATCTCCCCTAGAGTCCTTTGCACTGTTTTGGTCCTCTCCAAAAGAATCTGTTCTATTGCTACCCAGAGAGGACAGCCTTGATTTGCTTGATTTAGGCAGGGAACCATACTTGCTAATCTCCTCTTCTTTTTCAGCAAGGTATTCAGACACTGTATCTACCAGACACTGAAGCTCGTCCATAGGGTCCACATATTCATCACTTGGCTCCTCTACTGGAGAGAGCATTGCCTCTGAGACCCATCCTCCAGTCTTAGATTTGGCACACTTCTTTTCTCGAGAGCCCTGAGGATTTTCTATGTGGCCCTCATAAGAGGAAGGATGCCGATCTCTATGACGTCTTGAATTCTGAGAGTACAGGTCTTCAGACATAAAGTTGATGTCCTCAAGATCTTCCTCTGCTCCTGGAGTGTAGTGGAGATCCCGAGAGCTCCCGGATTCAAAATCAAACCGCGCTCTCATTCTAGCATCTTGCTCTTTTTTATATGCCTCATAATTCTCCAAAGTATTATCCAGCTCATTTTTAGCCCACATTCTCGTTTTATAGAGAAGGCCATTCTTGTATGGCCTGAGGCATGATGTCATCTTCTCCTCTTCTTCTTGCATCTCTGCTACTTGCCGCATAAATAGCTCCCCTCTTTTTTCACTGAGGACTGCAAGGTCAGAGGTTTCTCCTCTCAGTTTGTCTGTTTCCATATTAACAAATCTTCCGGAGTCTGTAATTCTTTTCTTTCGCCTTCGGTCAATAGTATCATAGCTCTCAGGGTAGGTGGAAGGCGGGAAACCACTTTGCTTCATATTCTGACGGCTCTGTGTATTAGATGGCTCGGGGTAGGGTCTTCCCATTTGAAAGATGATGCTGTCCTCCTCTTCATTGAGAAAGTCACTCAACTGAGGCTTTCCCTGCCCTTTATATTTGTTTTCCCAATCATCAACTCCCATTCCAGAATCAACAGGTATAATTCTGACCCTTCCTTTCTGGTTTACAGATCTAATGTAGGCCAGGGAATGGATTTAAAAGGTTATGGGAATGGAAAGGAAAACGGGACAGAGAGAAAGCAAACAAGAAAAATGAAAACAAAAACAGGTTAAGCAGCATGATTAAATCAGAAGAAAAAGAATGGCAGGAACACTTTCATGCAAAGGTTAAGAGAAAAATGCTTTCTGGCTACTCAACATCTCTAATAACATTACAAATTCCTAACGGAGATGACCATTTCAATAAGTACTAAGGATGTTGATCTTACAAGATTTGAAGACAGTTGTGAGTGAACTGACCTTTTTAGAAGACAATATGAACATTTCAAACAGATTAATTTACACATTTCAGTCGCTGGGTGATTAAACTGCATTTGTGTGTGAGATTGGGAGACTCTGCGAATTGCCATCTTAAATCCCCACGGCAGCAGTCACGCTTATCAGCACTTCAACATTCAGTCTGCACTAGAGTTCACAACGGTGAAATCATCACCATATGGCACTTGGGGATGAGGTTTTAAATCACCAAGGAGAGAGGCATGTGACAGTCACTGAACTCCTCCCTTAGGAGACGTAACAATGAGGCAAAACCAAATTCAGAGCAGCTCAAACTTCAAGGGAATTGAAGCAACAGAAAAGACCCTTGAGATAAAATGAAATATGTACTTCTCCTGGCAGTAATCTTGTGTTGTTTTTTAAATGTTATTTCTCTATTTATCTATTTCCCACCCCCCCCACCCCCCTCTTGTAGCATTATCCGGATCAGCTTTCTATCAGCCAACACAGATTTGTAGCAGTCTCACTGGTGCACATGTGTTGTTTGTACAAGATTAACTTCCATGCACCGAAACCATTTGTTTCAAGGACTAAATATGGCTTCCAAATGCCAACATATTAGGAATACAATATGGAAATTCAGTTATTTTTGTTGTGGTGGTTATTGAAGATCCCTCCCTCTAATATAATAAAACTGGAAAGGACAGTCACTACACAGAAATTCTTGTCAGTCTCAACAACATGCAGACGTCGGTAACATGTCCACCACACAAAGGACAATGCAGTGATAGGACTGCAACAAACAGAATATATACAAATATATATATATCCTTTCTGTGACGTTATATGATCACTAGATGTGTGTGACTGTGAGAAGGAGAGGATCTCACAATCCCCGAGACATTAGCTGAGTTTAGTTGACATTGCATATGCTTCGTCTACCTGCTGCCCCTTTGGTCTCTATAGTCCAGGTCAAAGCTGTTGATGGAATCAGTGCAACAGTCTTGGTGGTGCTGGGGCCGAGGCCCCATGGGGTACTGATGCATGGACGAGTTTGGCTGAGCCGTCGTGTGGTAGCGGGGAGGTAAACTATTGCTGGTCTCACTGCGGTAGTCGCTGTCCCGATCATCTACAGCACTGTCCTGGTCATCCAAAGCTGTGACGGGTGACAACACAGGCCAGATAGTTAGTTTTTTACCAACAAGTCATGATAACAAATAAATGTGCTTATCATCTCTGCCAGCGCATATTTGTTTGGCTTGTTTCTTATGTCAAAATGGTAAGCAAAGAGGAAATGAATTAGGGTCAGCTGAAGGCTGAATACGGAGATACTGGTTCTTTCATTTGGTTTAGAGAGGTAGACTGTCTCCACAGGTAGCTGCAATGCAGGTTGCAAAATGTGGAATCTAAACTGAATAGTATGGTCTCTTATAATTCCAGCAATGCTAACCTAAAAAACAGAAGGAAGATTTAATTAACTTTAAGGTAATCTGAATTGAAAAGCAGCGATAAATGACAAGTGAGACCTTTGCAAAATTTCCACTCACTTGTAGGGTGAATTTATTGGCATTAATTAACCTAACGTGGCCATTTTGGATGATGGGAAGAGGAGCCGTCTGAGATTTGAACCAAGACTCCCTTTGCAATGCGATGACAGCCACAAGTAGAGCCATAGAAAGCAACCCTGAGGCCGGTGTCTGCTGGAAGGGAGCCTTCAATGATCAATTGAGAGGTTGAACAATCTAATTTCTAAATATTTCCAAGAGTTAAGCGGCAGGACAAATATATGGAATCCTGTATGTGTTCATGAAGTTTAAAGTAGCGGAGACTGCCCTCTTTCAGTACTGTAAGAGAACTACTGTTTACAACAGCAGTCTGATGTGTTTTCCTGGTTATCATTTACCTGCTTTAAACCACTACTGTTAAAGAGAAACAGGGCGGAAAACAGGAAATACAAAGGTCAAAGGGGATCAGGGGATATGTTGATGAAAGGCAGTTGTTAAAATGAAGTAATGTGGATAAAATGCATGATAATCTGATAGAATACATGGTGCGGGGGAATATTACGACGTGCAGAAAGGACTGAGGCCAGGGAGAGAGAATTTCATCAGGGTGCAGTAAAATGTGTTACATACTCATAGGTTCAGTCCATCCGAAATAGTTGCCTGGTGAAAGTCCAAATATTACAAGTAAGAGGTCATTCACAAAGTTGAGGGTCTTGTGCAAACAAATAAAACAAAGTGGGAGAATGAGGGAGTTTTTCCTTATTAAAAGTCAGAAAAAAGGTAATCAGGCTGACTGCCAGTCAGCTGGAAATCAGAATATTTGGTTCAGATTTCAACACTAAAATCAGTACAAGAGCAGGACAATGGAGCTGAGAGAGATTCGAGAAGAACTGAGAGCTGGAAGGGTTTGGAACTGGCACCATCTAGAGGCTGAGAGCTGTCCAGAATGGTACAAAGCACTTACAGCACTGGGAGGGTGCAAACGGCAGTGGACCACTCTGGTTATCGTCCTGGAGATGATACTACAGAGGAGAGACAAGCAGCAACACAGCAGCTTTCAAATGTGTTTCAAGACGTTACAAAAGTAAGTCTGAACAGATTAGTGTTCTGTATTAATTTCACACTTACTCAAACTCTTTAAAAAAAACTACCTCTAAACTAAAACCACTGTACTACCTCATCATGGATTCCCATGGTGTTGATACGCTCGAGCCTGCCTGTCCAATACTGTGCCTCATCATCTGGGATATCTGTGGACAAACACAAAAAAAAGATAGATAACATATTTATCCCTGTTTGATATTACATGGTCTGTTTGGGAATAGTCAGATAATAGAAGCAGACTTTCCCGGCGTGTATGTGAGATAACTGACTTTGTTTTGTCTGTTTTTATGCTCTTCTTTTTGTAAACTGAGCCATGACAACTGTTGTGTGCCAGATCAGGTCCTCTCCTCATTCCGACCGTTTCACTGAACATGGGCTGCTCAGCAGACAGACCGGTACTGAAGGCCACCTACGCACAGGCCGGGATTTCAAAGACCCACTAACCCACCGCTGTAATGAGCAGCTCTGAACACGTGAAGGGCTGCGACAACCTCAAAAGGCCTCCCACCCACTCAGTGGATGGGCACCGAGCTTTAACTTTGATGCCGTTTGATCAAAAGACTTGAGTCAGTCAGAGGGGAAATGGTGTCGGTGGACCTGTGGGATCGTACATGAAGGGCAGGAGGGGAGGACAACATTTCACTCTCCAATCTTTGATTTAAAAGATACTCTTCACTGTCAAATATGCCTTTCTGGCAAATCCAGGTGCTTTAAAAAGCCCTCTGAAGGGCCCCTTCATACAGCTGGCATAAATGAAATAGCCTGGAAAAGCTACAATTAGATTTTGTAGGCGTAAACTGATAAAGGGCTTTGTGTGAACCAGGAGCCATTGCCCTGCATTTAGGTCACAAAGAAAACATGTCCCACACCCCCAGTGGAACCAGCCGTGACCGGGAATAACGGCTATGCTTTATCCACAACATCCAGCACCATAGTTTCACAGTCCTCCAGCTTGGGCAGTTTTTCCGCTTCAGACTAAGAAATCGACCGCTGACATATACGCAGGAGACATTTGAGTCCTTTGTGTGTCTTTTCTCCTGGTTCGATTTGCCCTAAGGTAACCGGGATCACAAATGTACTCTCTGTTGCACCGCCTGAGATCGGCACATAAACCTGAGCAGACTATGAATACAGGTCAGGTCTATCATTTGGATTTTTTTTTTTGACCGATTTACATTTTTTAATAAGCACATAAAATGATAATCTCACCAAAAGGAAGCTCAAAGCGAGTGTCCAATAGCAGTCGATGAGGCGTGGGGTTCTTGGTGCCATATATCTCATCTGCTTTCATCAGGACTTCAGCATCCAGGAAAATCCACTCACCCGAGCCCTCCTGCAGTTTTTATTTTTATTCATTTAAATTGAAAATAAATACATTTGCAAACTTAAATACAATAATTTTTTTGGGCATGTTCTATGACTATATTTCAGCCGATAAAACTGTTTTCGGCGGGGGAAATGTTTCCATCAGTGGCGTTTTACCTCCTCAGACTGCCGGACATTTTTAAGAGGAATCCAGGAAGTGCCCACCATGGTGTCCCAGATGAGGCCTTTGTTCCAAACCTCAACAATGAGACCCAGGTCCAGCCGGTTGATCTCACTGAGGAATGAGGAAAAGGATGAAACCAGGTATGAAGCGCATATAATGGCACACGGTAGAAAATGTTGATGAATAAAAGAACTCTAACACTGTAAAAACACACAGAGAAATAAACAAAAAACTTTTCAAAGTGACATTCTATTCACATTAATTAGAGAAAAATCTGTGTAATCACAGAGAGGCCCTACCACTGCCTGATAACAAAAGCTACTTTTTGATGTGTTTTAGTTGTCATAATCCACCCCTGCCTTGTTTCATTCAACAAGCTATTGAAAGGGCTCAAAAACAGCTTGATGACAGCGGGAAAATGGCATATCCGTTTTGAAAGGAGCCGCATAACAAGAGCATTTGCATATTCTCATTTGTGGCAGTTTAGAGAGATCGAGAGCACAGACAAAAGGAAGATGCGAGAAAAGATAATCAAAGAGAGCAGGTAATTGAGAGAAGTAGCGGGGAGGATGATGAGTGTCCAGGACACACAGGTGCACAGATAAAGGCTTTCTAAATCATTTGCTCATACAAAATGGCACCGAATAATCAAATGCATCACGCTATTCCAATCAAACAGGCTACATTCGAGAGGGAGATTTTCATTGCACGTGTTGCCATTTAGATTCTGTGATCCAATAACCTCATTTATGTGGATTGGCAGGGTTTGTATTCGGACACAAAAAAGAACAGTTTGAACACCAACACGACCCGACACTGTCCGTTTCTATTTTGAACAACCCTAGCATGTCAATTTCAACATACCTCTATGGATTTATCACATCTACAAATGGATTATCATGTCATGCTTTATCTCATTGTATCAACATTTTACCACCACGTCTAGAGCTCACCAACCAAACCATCACGGACATCTTAAAACTGGAGAGAAAAAAAAAGGAATACTGCAACATTAAAACTTTCCTGCTAGATAAATAAATGTATTTTTAATAGGAATGTACATGGCTAGATATATAAGCAAAAAAAATGTATAGGTAAAAGTTATGCAAACCAATCTAAAAACCCAAACAGAAAATTCCACCAACAATTTCTGTGCTGAAAGAATATTTTCTCCCTTTTATTTTCAGAATATCACTTCTAATCGCTGAAGAATTTATATCTAACTCCCTGTAAATCATGAAATGAAAAGATTATGTCCAAAAACCATTTCTTTTGTATTCCTGGTTTGCAACAGTACTTGAAGCACCACAACACAGAAATGAGAAAAATAGGAAAGAGAATATTGACAAAATTAAAAGAAACAACAATGATGATAAGCAAACATGATCTGGTTGAATTTGCTTTTGTGAAATGCAGAATTCCCACTTTTAAGATTAAATGTAGGTGAATGACTGTGTGACACACTCACTCTCATTAAGCCACCACACCGTTAATGGAAAGATGAAAGTCTGGAAAAACAAACACCGGCGCGGTGACAGACACCACAGAAGACAAACAATGACACGCACGCAACGACGTGTTGGCTCGGCTGTCTCCATAGATACGTGTGACTGGGAAAGGAGGACCGGGAAATTAATGAATGATGAATCGAAAGGAAAAGCTGATCTGGATACGCTTTTAGGAACAGTTGAGCTGTTTTCTAAACCTGTAGATTTATACAAAAGGTGGGATCTATGGCAGAAACAACTGGAAAACAAGTTTAGTCCAAGATGGAAAAACAAAAAAACCCTTATCTGCATCAACTTAATTGGCTAATGATTTCTAAACGATGGGGGGGGGGGGGCAATAACTGTCAACTCACAACATGAAATCTTGCTCCCAGCAGGGCTGCTCCCCGCGCACGGTGATGGTCGTGCTTTTAACATTCTGCACCTTCAGCGTCACGTAGGTGTTGAACTTATCTGGAACGAGAGAAGAAAAGAAGAAGAGCACAGATCACCACTGGCATCGAAGCGAGGTCAGAGGAATGCACAGGGATCATGTGACAGAGGCAGAGGGATGGTCGGGTTCTTAAATGATTGGTGAACCTTAGCCCATGTGGCATCAGTAAATCACTTTCTGATATTCCTATCCATTCATTTCAGCATCAGATTTATTCACCGATTGTGCACAGTTTGAAATGACATGCGTGTGAAACTGTCATTTTAAAAAGGATGCTAAAAATAAACTGATATCAATCGCTTTTACTGGAGCAAAAGGTCAGTTTCTGTTTTTGAATCTGGATCACACCAGGTCACTTCACGCCGCTTAACTATGCTGCTTATGTAAAGTTATATGAGTAGTTCAGAGAAGGCTTTTCCTGGTTGTGTTTGAAGCCGATCGTCAGTAAAAGTGACGGTGAAAGTAAACGAGTCTCCTCCCCATGACTGCGTGGAGCCAAGTCAACACACTGACCCCGTTAATCTCCAATAAGCGCCGCCCTCCTGCGTCACATCCACCGCGCTCCAATAGCCCGGCGCGTCTCCCCCGAGTCGTGAATTCCACTTTCTCTTGCATACGCATGCTCGTCCTCTGAATATACGGTATGGAACAAAAGGAGGCCTGCTCATGACGCCATCTAAACCAAGTCACCTCTGGCCCGTCCGGTGCAGCAGAAAAAGGTCTCCGTCAGCCTCGATATCATCTACAATTCATCAAATCTGCCCGAGTCAAGGGTGATGTGACCACCTAAACTCAATGTTCCAGATTCGAACAGCCATTTAGTCTCAGGGAAAGTCTAAATGTGACGGGTCGCCTTCTTTTTTCTCTTATTTTTCTCTTTGCACTCTAGATAACCACTTCTGGGGATCTGCTGGCTGTTTGAACGGACATTTTGGACTATGGTCTATGTGGTTTCACAGCGAGCCATCTCTCTCTCTGTCCGTCTCTCTCGGGCAGCGGCGGTCAGCGGGGCCAGTGTCACAACTACTGCATGCGCCAGCTGTCAGCCCTCAGCAGAGTGAGCTGGGAGGCTGAGCGGAGGGGGATTAGGCGGCCTGTGTCACAGCTACCACCAGCATTTCATTTCCTGCAGAGAGGTTGGGGGGGGGGGGGGGGGGCGGGGGGGGGGGGCATCAACACGTGCCTGCTGATGTGGTCAGTTCTCCTCCGGTAGCACAATCAAAGACATTATGTAAGAACGTGTAACGCATGGATCTTACCTTCCCCAGCACTGAATATAGAACTAATGCCCATGAAACGCCATATTTAGTTGATTTATTTTAGGTGTGAAGACTTGAGCTGACATTGCACAGATCAAAGCAGTGACCACACACACACACACACACACACACACACACACACACACACACACACACACACAC